CTTGAAAAATAGTTGATATCCCCCTAGACAAGGAGACAGTCGAATGTCGATGGGTATTCACAGTGAAGTATAAGGCCGATGGCAAGATAGAGAGGTATAAGGCTAAGTTGGTAGCAAAAGGGTATACTTAGACCTATGATGTTGATTATCTGGAAACATTTGCACCAGTAGCTAAGATGAGTTTAGTTTGTATCCTTTTATCTCTAGCAGCCACCTATTCATGGCCTTTGTTCCAGCTTGATGTCAAAAATGCTTTCCTCAATGGTGATTTACAAGAGAATGTATATATGGACATTCCAACATGCTTTTATGAAAATGTTGGTAAAGGAAATGTGTGCAGACTTAGAAAATCTCTGTATGGACTAAAACAGTCACCTAGGGATTGGTTTGACAGGTTCAGAGGGGCACTCATCCATTTTGGATAATACACAGACATAGTCTGATCACACCCTCTTTGTGAAAAGGAGAGATGCTCTGGTGTCAATTCTGATTGTGTATGTGAATGATATAGTGGTGACAGGAAATGATCTGGAGGAGATTGATGATCTCAAAAAATCATTGTAGCAAGAATTTGAGATCAAAGATCTTGGTGAGCTCAAATACTTCTTAGGGATAGCAATTGCAAGATCCAAGCATGGGATCTTCATTTCACAGAGAAAGTATGTACTTGACCTAYTRCGAGAGACTGGGAAGCTAGGGACCAAACCAGCAGACACTCCTATTGATCCAAATCACAGAATTAATGGTGTGGATGGTGAATTGGTAAAGGATGTGGGGAGATATCAAAGAATGGTGGGTCGACTGTTGTATTTGTGTATGACACGACCAAATATTTCTTATGCTGTCAGTGTTGTGAGTCAGTACATGCATGCACCTCGGGTTCAACACTGGGAAGCTATTGAGAGAATATTTGCATATCTGAAAAAGCACCCTGGCAGAGGCATTCTTTTCTCAAATCATGAGAATCTAAAGCTATAATCCTATATAGATGTAGACTGGACAAGATGCTTAGATGACATGAGGTCTACATCAGGAGTGTGTACCTTTGTAGGTGGAAACTTGATCTCCCGAAAGAGTAAGAAGCAAGCGGTTGTGGCAAGGTCAAGTGTAGAGGCCGAGTATAGATCCATGGCTCATGGTGTCTCAGAACTTCTTTGGGTTAGATCTCTTTTGAGTGACATAGGGGTGAAAACAGATGAACGTATGATGTTATACTATGACAATCAGGCTATAATCAATATTGCCCATAATCCAATTCAACATGATAGGACAAAACTAATTTAAGTTGATAGACACTTTATAAGAGAAATGGTAACAATTAGAGAAGTTTGTTTGACTTATGTCTCTTTAGAGTTGCAGCTAGCTGATGTTCTCACTAAAGGGGTGGCAAAGAACAAGCTTGAACATGAYCTAYRYAWGTTGGGAATGTGTGACATTTACTCCMAACTTGAGGGGGAGTGTTGAAGATTAATTAGTTTTATGATGTTTTTTCTGAGTAGATGTTCTATGTTAGTTGTTAGATAGGAGGTGGGGACCACAGTAGTTATGTGTGTCCAAATTTAATTATGTTTTTTGAGTGTTATATATGTTGTTTTATGTTTTTCCGCCCTATAAGGGCATAGTTGTCTTTGTACTATTCTATTATTTTAGTATAAATAATAAATGAAGGGGGAGGCCAGATTATTGCTCTCTTTTCTTTTCAACCTCTCTTCTTCTCCTTCTCTCTTCCTTCTCTCTTCATGAAACTACTTTCTTTCATATTTTTTAATTTAGCAGATTCCTACTGTTATTGAATTTAATTAAATATAATTGTAATAGTAATAAATGGATCATTTTATTTTTAATTTAATTAGGATTATTTTTATTATATTAATTTTAATATTTATATTTTTAAAATAAAGCTAGTATCTAGCTAATATATTTTTTAATTAAATTAAATATTTTATATTTTTCTATAATTTCATGTATCTTACCTCTTTTGAATTTTTATTTTTTAATTATGACGTCATAGGTTGAGGTAGATAATTGAATTGCTAGCCTACTACCAAAAGGAAAAATATTTTTGTTCCATAGTCAATTTTAAAATTTGTATTCCATTTCCATATCAATAAAAATAATTCATTTTTATCACACTTATTTCGTCTAAGTATAACAACTATATAACATTGGATATATGCCAAAATTTTCTACATTTTTTTTTTAATTTTTACACTTTAAATTTTTTAATTTTTTTGACAACTAAACAAATAATTGCCACCTAGATGGAATATTGGGTTCATTTTTTAGTCAATTTTAACTTTTGTGTTATATTTTTGTAATTAATAAACTAATCTTATTTATCATACTTGTTTTATATAATATGATTTATATATAATGTCAGAGATGTGCCAACTTTTTACAAAATTTCTATATTTTTTGTATTTCTATATATTTTAAAATTTTTGTTATTTAATACGATATCATGGCTTAACTCATTTAACTCGGGTTATTGAACCACTACCCTACCACCTAGGCAAACAAATTTTTATTTTCTGATTAGTTTAAATTTTATTCCATTTTCATTATCAATACAAACTAATTATTGTTTATCACACCTATTATTGTTTAATATGATAAATATATGACAATAAGATTGTGTTCACATTTTCTATAATTTTTTTTGTATTTCTATCTATTTTGAAAAATTATTTATTTAATTATGACATAATGGATTGACCAATTTAACTTAGACAATTGAACCACTGAATTACCACCCATTTTCATTATCAATAAAAAATAATTCTTTTTTTATATAATGTGATAAATGTATAATATCAGGATGTCTTATTTTTTTTATAAAATGTTTATGTTTTTATAGCTTTTAGTATTTATATCTATTATTAGTGTTTTATTATTAATTATGACATCATGGGTTAATCTAGATTATTTAATTCATGGACCGCTCCTAGAATGGAAAAAAAATCCTTTAAAGACAATTTTACTTTTATTGTTCCATTTTTGCCATCAATAAAAATAATTCTTATTTATTACACTTATTTTCTTTAATGTGATGGCTATATAATATTAGAGATGTGCCAAGTTTTCTACTATTTTTTGTATTTCTATATTTTCTAAACTTTATTATTCAATTATAACATCATGGGTTGATCCATTTGACTTGGACAATTGACCCATTTGTTTTTAAATTTTGCATTTCATTACATCATTAATAAAATTAATTATTGTTTATCACACTTACCCCTTTTAATATGAATTAATATGTAATGTTAGAAATGTGTCTAATTTTTTCTATTTTATGTATTTTCTATATTTTTTCATATCTTTTTTATTTTTAGAAAACAATATTATTTTACTATGACATCATGGGTTGATCCATTGATCTGAAAGGTTGAACCATTGACCACCATTTAGGGAAAAAATGGTATCATTTGTGGATCATCCTTAAACATTGCATTCCATTTCCATCATTAATAAAAATGCTTATTATCATACATGCTTTGTTTAATATGACAAATATATAATATTAAATATGTGCCTAAAATTTTCTAATTTTTTTATTTATGTGTTCTTATCCATTTTTAAATTTTTAGTATTTAATTATGATATGGTTCACTTGTATGGTTCACTTGTTTGACCCAAACAATATAATTACTTACCTACCATCTAAAAAAACTAGTTTCATTTTTAGTTGATTTTAAAATTATGGGTTTTGATTGGTCAAAACTCTTTCTATACCATATATTTTCTGCATCATAAATTTTCCCTATTATTAATATTAATGGTAATTGGTTTAATTAATGGAATTTAATGATGATAGACAAAAATGCCTTAAATATAGGATTTAATGAATGGGAGTTAATGTCCAAATTATGGGATTTAAAGAGGGAATGAAATGTACTAAAAAGTAATATTCAAATTACAATAGAGGGACTAAATTCAAGAAGATGGGTATTTTAGTTAAAAAAATATCATAGGGGGCTATTCACACTTTTTTATTGTAGTATATGTGTGTGTGTAGTTGTTCAAAAGGACTTCTGGCCAAACTAAAACTACCAAGGCCCCAACACAAACCCAATCCGAATTTAAATCAAGCCCAAGTGCTCTGGCCCGGTCCAATCCAAAACCCCAAAACTCAGGTCCAACACATTCAAAAGCAGATATGGATTGGGTCGGGTCGAGCTCAGGTTGGGCCCGCCAAAAGAAGCGGCCCTACCGTTGACAAGAGGACATAACAACCCTCTCCAGAGCCAGAGGGTTGCCCCTTCCTAGGGCATATTTTGGCCACCGGCTCAGTTGGTAGGGTTAGAGACCTGGGAATCCCGCTGCCACCAGGGGTTGGGGGTGGGGAGTTAAGGGAAAGGGGATGGGCTACCCCCTGTTGTGTAGCCCCATGAAGCGAAAAAAAAAAAGAAAGAAAATAACACATTATACAACTTTGTGATGAGGGACCCACTAGTTATTTGTCCGAAACCAAAAAAGTGTAAACATCTTTTTGCCATTTCAAATCCAATAATGCCTTAGATTTCTGTTTCAAAACCCGTCCATTACTTGGGTGGGTCCAATGTAACCCACTTATGGGGGAGCGTCTGCATCCTCTTTCTGGTCCAACTTCATATCCTACAAAAGATGGTCAGCCTTCAAACCAGTTGACTGCTGACACTTTGACCGGAAAAGGACACAGCATAAATGGAGAAATTACAAACTGGGAAAAGTTTGGTAGTTTACAGCTTTCAGGTTCAGAGAATGCCAAAAAGGAATAAGTGGGGTTCCAATTGAATGCCCAGCAACACAACATCTCTTTTAGGGAAATATTTAATACCAATTCTATCATCATCTGTTTGTTTTGCATGGTGCCCAGCCATGTGATCTCAAGTGAAAGAACCTGCCGACACAACAAACTTGATGTTCCACAAGTACAGGGACAAAAGAATAGAGAAACCAAGACAAAGGTTGATCCCATTCCATCATTAACACAGTCCAGACAGAGAATGGAAGCTTGTGATTGAAAAATGGCTTACTGAATAATTTGATAGTAAATAAAACCCAGCCCGCCATGCATTGCTAATAATAATTAAACCCACTTCAAACAGGAGGCCGTGACAAATATTGAACTGATACAATTGGTGTACACAACTTCTAGAAGAATGCATTTAAAGAGCCAAACAAATGTTTTGTGTTGATTACAAGCACTTCGGAAAGATGAATTATGATTCCCCAAGACTTTTTCCCAAGTCACCTGTCGGAAAGACCATTCCCTTCAATCCCGAGCTAGGTCCCATTTGTATTTCTATGCAGTATGATGGGTTCATCAGTTAATGGAACAATGTTTTCCTTTTACTTGGTGTCTCCCTCTGGGTAGCCCCCTCCCCCTGCTGAAAGCAAACTTCACAAACTTCACTGCTTTTGACTTCTTCCCTTCTTCGATTTGCTCTTCTTTTCCTGCATCTTTTTCTTCTTTGCTTCAACTGTTGTCCAAGTATAATCCGCAGGTAAGACAAATGGGTCTTGAATATCTTCTACCCGACTGCTGGGGCCAGAACTCATAGAAGAGTTTTGACGATGGTATGGTGCTTTTATCCATTGAAGCCATGATGAACTTGAGGACTGCATCATTGCAGGGCTTTCTCGGCCTGCAGCATGAGGGCTCGAAGGAGGTGTGGAGAACTCATCCAAGGGTTGTAACTCTTCAAATTTTGTAAAAGTGACCAAAACTCTGATAGTTGGAATCACCGGAATAGAAACCTAGATATAATCAAAGATGATTTTCTCAGCAAATATATCTTGAAAGATTAAAACAAAAAATTATGAATGTATGTATTATGGTGACATTTAGAATAAATTAAAGAAAGCCCATCTTGACAAGGTGGAGAATTCACATAATATAGGAATCAGTTAGGTTGGACGGATCTAAACGGCATTTCGATCCAGTATAGAAAGCTGTATAAGAACTTTTTTTTTGGAAGATAACAAAAAAGAAAGAGCATACAAGAAATAGAGAGGACATCATCTTAACAAAAAAAGAAGCATAGAAAGGATAAAGCACTCTTGACATTAAAGTTTTATGCCCCTAAATATAGAATTAGATGTGAAATTTTTGCAATCTTGCCACCATGAAAAGAAAGATGACCACCAGCAGACCTTTATAAAACTTACCATTTTTCTTTCTATTCCAAGTTATGATGGATTGAGCATGCAAAGGATGCATTGTAAACAATATGAATTTTTAGTACTTGCATATGGACAAATTCAAAGTTTTAAGTTTCTAAGAGTACGGACAAATAAAATTAAAAAAAAAAAGCATTTCTTAGAGCAAGTTCAGCTGTTCAGGTAAGGTATTATGTACAGAGTTTTCTTATCGCTGCTTAAGGGATATGATTTACATACTTTTCTTGACAACATTATCTATGCAATTTTGGACAATTATATATAGTATGGCCAAGAATTTGAAAACTTTATTGCAACAAGTTGTGTAGAATGCCTGTACCAGTATCACATCATGTTGACAAGTGTTAGATCCTGTTAAATTACTGAGGTATAAATACAAGAGGTGCATCCAAGGGCATATCTGGAGCAATTGCCTTTGCATATTCTGGTCTGGAAGTTAAAGATCAAAGGAGATTCCAACAGAATTGAGGCTCTTCTGAGTATCACATCATGTTGACAAGTGTTAGATCATGTTCAAATTACTGAGGTACATATACAAGAGGTGCATCCAAGGACACATATCTGGTGCAATTGCCCTTGCATGTTCTGCTCTGCAAGTTAAAGTTCAAAGGATATTCCAAAAGAATTGAGGCTCTTCCACTGCTCTTAGGTCTTAGAATTCCTTTTACCCTTGGATCAAGGAATTTTCATATTTTTCATAAAGTTACACTTCTTCTTGGCCTCTGGCTAGAACTAGCATCAAGAAGTAACCTTGGAGAATTTCTCACTTGTTGAAGCTTTGGCATCCTAGATAAATTTTTTTCACCCAACAGTGGCTGACATATTGGCAAACATGTTTGCAGAAAGAAAGTTGCATTATGATGATGATGACGACTAACCATGTCCTGTGCTTTAGGTCTCAAAAACTAACGACAGCACGGTTGTTGTAGTTTGCATGTTTAGGTTTTTCCCTAATTTTTTGGATTGATATTTTGGGTTTAGGTTCACAATGTTTTGATTAGACAGTTTGTAGAAAAGCTAAGAATAAAGGACGAGGGTTTAATCCGAGCAGATATCAGTCATGGAAAAAAAGTAATCAAGGACCCTAACTCCACACTACATTCTCATGTCTCATAAAAACTTGAGTTAAGTAATTTTAAATGTTTGGTTTTTCATCGAGTAGGATATCTCTGAGGGTTTTACTTCATCTCTAGTGATCTAAGATAGTGTCAAATATCACTAGAGTCTCCACATTTATTTGGTTCGAGGATTAGTTTCTTAATTGCTCTTTGCTCTCTCAAATCATACTATTGTATTTAGACCAGTCCATATTAATTAGTATGCTAGCAGCTAGCATGAACACCTACCATCATTCTTATTATGAATCTACATTACACATATAATGTAACCACAACCCAGCTTTTCATTTTAAATTTCACAACCAAGAAAGTAATTTAATTACCTAACTTCGAAAGTTTTGATCTTGTAACTATATTCCATAACTAAGAGTCTTGATCTCTCCTATTGATGTGAACTACATGAATTTCTAGCAATCCTAAATAAAGGGACTTTAAGAATACCATGACCTCACCTAAGAAAAGCTTCACCTAACACATCCATAGATAATAGGACAGAGTTCACAGAATGCTTAAAAAAGAAAAGAAAATGAAGATTGTGTATAATGTTTAAGGGGTAAATAGCTGAAGAAGAAGAGCACATTGTGGATGCCACAGCCCTCTTTGCCATATAAAGTGAAGAAATGTTGTCAGATCTTTGCTCTTCTTTGACATGTAAACCAAGGAAACCTCAAAAGTAATTCAGAATTAAAATTTTCAATCCCAATTCTAACAGGGTTTCTGTGCTTTTATGGTGAACGACCTCTTAGTTTAGGTATAACTTAATAAATTAAAGGAAGAACAAACCCAAACATCACATCAACCTAAGGAGGGAATCGGTAATCATGCATACATAAACCATGTAATCCTCCTCCAAATTCACAAACATAGCCACAACAAGTTTATCTGAACAAGATAATTCCATCATAGATAAACTGCAAAATTACATGAACAATATTTGCAATCTGGTACTACACTCTACTATGGCTCAGTTTCCTCAATGTTCACAATTCACAAAAGTTCTAACGTGAACAAAATTTGGCAGCTAGAGAAAGGAATGTCCAAATAATGTTAACGGAGAATATTTTAGTCCTAGGACATTGCATAAAAGCAGTAAAGCTTATAAGCTTCATGCAGGTTAAAGCTCTGCAACAAGAAACAATTGAACATACAATCTACTGTAAATCAATAGTGTTCTTTACCTTAGACTGAACCATTTGAAGCAAAAGAACAACAAGCAACAAGAAACAATGACAAAGTATAAGAGAGAGAGAGAGAGAGAGAGAAAGAGAGAGAGAGGATTTAAGCAACCAAGGAAAAATAGAACAGTCAAAGCATAAGGGTTCTAAGATATCATGCGATGTAGAACAGTTAAGGATGTCATCAACCTTCACTGGAAAAGTTCCTGGAGGAAGCTTTGTTGTAAGTAATTCTCTTAAACGACGGATTGCCTTGACCTTGTTAGCAAGAATATCAAGCAAGGGCAGCAATTCTTCAGTTTGGAGTGGAAAGTTGGGAGAAAGCCACAGAGTAGGTCTCAATCCTTTCTTGTACTCACTCTCACGGTTTACATCCCTGCGTCGATGACCACTATCAGAACTCAAAGAAGACTTTTTTGTATCTCGCCCTTTCTGGAGTTCATCCCCCCTTGCACCAACCTCTGCAGAGTGTCTTCCCTGCTTGCTCTGATGCCTAGGTGGAGAATCCCCAAGGAGATCACTTACCTTGTCATCCATACAGACAGAACTTCTTGGTGGAGCTATCTTCTTTTGACCTTCATGTTTCGTGTCCTGCTTTCTCCAGCCACCAAACCACCCTTTCTTCTCCTGTTTTACTTCAGCATTGCCACAACTATGCACATCTTCAATAGGGATCTCCCGTTGCTCGTAGCAACTATGTCGATGGGCAATAATGCCATCAGGAAGACTATCTTCAGTTGTCAACTCTGAAGAGTCCATCTTAAGTGCAACTTCTAATTGCCTCCTCTCTTCCTCTGTCAAGATGTCATCATACCCTTCACTCTCCGTGTCATTTTCATTGGAAGAATTGAAAAACTCATCATCCGTCATAGCCCCAGGAACTCGCCTGGACTTGACACTTACCACCACATTGTGCATATCATACACCTTACACCTCCATGGACCAACCATATCTGCCTTCTCTTGCCTTCTCCATGTCAACTGTGGCAATAGTATTGCCTGAGTCACATCAATTCCAGGCCTGAAGATATTAGTCTGAGACATTGCAGCCACTTCCTGTTGAACCTCTGCTTCACTCGCCTGAGAACCGGCTCCATCAAGAGCATTCATCACTTCCTTATCCTTGTGTGAGATCATGCAGAGAGTCCCGGGGGGGACCTTCCCATCCTCAGAGCCATCTCCAAGGAACAGAATACTCTGATCTGAACGCTGAATCTTGAATCCATCAAAACCAGCCAAAGTCATATCTGCCCTCAAACTTGCTCCCCTCTTCCATATCTTGTAGGTGTCTGAAGGCGCGATCCTTGCTATGAAAGGGATTAAAGAGCTCTCAAAGTTAAACGTGATCTCCATGTAGAAATCCCTCATCCTCCTCATAGTCCCTATTAAACGAGGAAGCCTACGACACCATTTTGCCCATGCTAACGGCTGGTAGTGCCTGACAATAGTCATGGCAATGCCTTCTTCTCTGTTGCAAATGGCTTCCTGCAGGGCACTCCATCCCTGTTCGTTCTGCAAGCTCCAGTCTGCTCCAGCAACCATAAGCATCTCAGTTGCAGTCTCATCACCGAGTTTAACAGCAAGGTGGAGTGGGGTCTCTCGGTTATGCACATCCCTGCGGTCAATCACAGCAGAGATAGCATCCGCTTTCTCTTCCTCCGCAAATGAAGCCGCCTCAGTCCGAATCTCAGCTGGATTGCAGAGGCGCGGGAGACTTGCAAGTATCCGCTTGAGAGCAGCGTAATCCCTCGTAGCTACAGCCTTATGCACAGGACTATGATCATATTTAGAAACATCTATTCCCGCCATGACTCAGGAGATTAAGATCGATACAGAATTTCGATACAATCAAGCCCAATTCAGTAACATCCAAATTCACCCGAAGGATAGACAACAAGAAAATCCCTGCTTCCAAATGAATTGAATATGATGAACAAAGTCAGAGATCATAGAACATCATCTCCAAAGACAAGCGAACAACCAGAAATGCCGAACAGGATCAAACAGAGCACCCAATTATTCACATAAACCCCCAAATTCAGCAGAAACAAACAACATATAAAGCAAATATACAACACTCAACAGAAATGAAAAATCTCTCGCATGTCACAACCTTTCACCGAAACGAATCGAACCCACTTCAATAAAACCATAAGAAACCCTGAAAGAAACAAGAACCCCACTACAGCAGGCACCCGAGCCGATCCGAACCAACGGAAACGAATCCGGCCGGGTCCCAAAACAAAAAACCCAGTTTCAGAAAATCTCACCTTCTTCCTCTGTGTCCCTAGAACCAAGCCTCCGACAAAAAAAAGGTTCAGAAACTAAACCCCACCTCCCTCCCTCTCTCTCCTTTGATAACAGAAAGAGAACAAGAGATCCCTGTGATCCAATACAGACCAGACAAACCCAATGACACGCATGTGGGTTAAGAAATAAGAAATGACGAGGGGAATCTGCTAATCCGATAAAGAAATGAAAAGATGTAGACTCAAGAAAGGAATACAACAAAGAAACAAAACCCCACAACCCAAGGCGAAAAAATAAAAACCGTGTGTAACAAATTCTGAATAAAAGGGTAACAAATAAAAGAAGGAATAAAGTTTCTACGAAAAAAAATAATAAAAGAAGAAAGTAATATAAATTTCTACTTTCTAGAGAGAGAGAGAGAAAGTGCTACCTCTCCTAATCCTGTACTTCAAAAGATATTAAAAAATTCAGATGGGTCGTTTTGGTGTCTGCTTCAAGTTGAATATGGAAGAGCATATGTTCCATTTTACCTTTTTTACAGATTAAAGCAACCAGAAAGCAGGATGGGTTTGAGAGAAAGAGAGAGCCTGCGTGTGGCTGTGTCCAAAAAAGGAAGGGAGAGGAAAGGGAAAGCTTTCCCATTTCTCGTCTTGTCCTATTACATCTACATTACACAAGGGTACGTTATGCGCCTTCTACCTTCTCCATAATAATTTGAACCGGTCCAACTGACCCACCGGCTAAATGGTCCATCTGGTGCGTCCAATTCACAAAAGAATCAAAACTCGAGATGGTTGAGCCGCGTGGTCTGTGAGGATCGGATAAATAATTGGCTCACTGTTTAACCCACTTCGACCCATTGATGGTCAATCAAATCGACCCATCTATGCGGGAACGGGATCTGCGACACTGCTCCCGGGACCCGCACAGAGTAATTATTGTAGAGCGTAGTTACCATATATAATCACTGTCAGACCAGGCGGGACACGGAAAATTAAGGTGTTCACCTCAACCAACTATGACCATACAATTTATTGGAAACGGGTCCAGTGGGGCCCGGCCCTAACCCGGGTCAGGATAGAAGATGTTCAGGCTAAGGCCTAAGGACGTCTCCTTGTCCTTTACAAAAACGGTCCAGCAGGGCCTTCTGGTTTGTCAAAACCGGTTCACATAAAGCCACCGGGTTCAGTTCAGAATTCAGATGCGATGTCACAAGTGTCAACATCTGCCCACCCATCCAATTGGAAACTTGTGACCATTGGGTCTATTCGACTCCGTGTGGGGACTGGGGACAGCTGAAGACCAGTCATGCCCTCTGGAACCCTCCAAAGGTCAAAGTTCACCATGGTCAAGATTGTAAAAACTGATTCTATCTGGATGGTAGAAAAAACTTGGTCAAACGATCTAAGAGATTGATCTTAGGATTGAAATTGCCACGTGCTGCCACTGTATTTTACATTCTAAGGCGATTTACATTTTGTGTATTAATAACACACCCTAATTCTGATGAAAGGTCAGACAATAGGATAGTTTTAGTAACTACATCAACCTATAGGGGGTGTATACGTAAATATGCGGTTCTATAAGGGGCATTTTAATAATAAAACAAATAATAGGATAGTTTTAGTAACTATATCAACCTATAGGGGTGTATACATAAATAACATAACATTTCATTTTTCAAATAGCAGTGATAGTGATGGGGTGAGATGAGGGTGTATTATAATACAATATGTTTCACTTTTTTTTTCCTACTCACGATAGACCCGAATATTGTCATCGAAAACCGGATCCTGGGCCGTGGACTGGTCAACCCACTCAGCTCCTTTGGATGGGTTATATATATATATAGAGCCTAGAGGGGCCTAGGAATAAATTAGATCAAGTAACCAATATGGGCCGAGCAGCTTCATCTAATTAAAATTTAGAGTTTTAAAATATTGTTGCATGGTTTGGATTCCCCATGTTTATGTAGAGATTGTCTGCATGAAGGTGCCAATTCTTGAGCCGCCCGCCAACCCAGGCCGGCACTGTTTTCTTCCAAGGCTGAGGTTGGCTAATCCCTGTCTGGTTCAACTTTGGGCTTGACCCCTTGTCTAGGCATTCCCCAACCAAAACCACCTATTAGATTGTTCTTTCTTTCTTTTTTTTTTTTTTTTTTCTGACTGAGAGTGTTTGGGATTGTAGTTTGAAATTTCAACCCGCCTAGAATAGCATAGATTTAAGGGTCTGGTTAATCGGTCATTCCAATTCTGACTGTTTGATTGGCAGAATCAGAATCCCATTCCCTATCATCTTCCTTGAGAATGAAATCCTATTAAGCTTATAAATAATATTCAAAAAATTGAATTTAAATTCAATATTTGATATAATCGAATCAATTTCAGATAATTTAATTGGATTTTTGATCAATTTTAAATATAAATTTTTTAGCCATTAATTAATCGGATCAAATTCAGATATATATTGATTTGATCTGATATATATACAATAATTTCTTTTATTGACAAGGGTATAGAGGTAAAATCAATTAGAGTTAGACTCCAACCCAGCTCATTGAATCATTCCATTCGAAATTTTCCAAAACCTTAGTCCCTAACACTTCGCCGCTGCCGAGCTCAAGCAAACACCACCACTAGCGTAGTAGCGTTGGCGGTCCAACACCGGTCACCACCGTCACTGGACGTCGTCGATAGTTGACAGTCGTTCACCAAGCTAGTTGTTTACAGGCTTAAGTCGTTCATCGCCGCTGAGCCTACAATTTTCCAGTTCATTAGTTTGCTGCCACCATGGTTTTTAGAAACGAACCGGTGATCGAACCGGTCAGGGGTCTGGTTACCGGTTCAAACGGCCGATCCATTCTAACAAAAAAATGAAAAAAGGTCAAAATCGTTCGAACGATTAATCAGTCGGTTCAGCGATTTGTTGACCAAAATCAACGGTTTTAGGAAAAAAGCAGATTTGGGAAAAAACGGAATCGGTCAAGTAACTGGTTTCCGGTTTTTCTGGTCCAACCATCCGGTCCGATTCCCGGTTTTTCCAGTCCGGTCCAATTTTGAAAACCATGGCTGCCACCCAACCCAAGAAACACAACCACCACTCCAGCACTGGTGCACCTATTCCGGCATCAAGACGTTTTTCAGACTATAGGCCTAGGTTTTTAATCTGAGACTCTGGTGCAAAGAGGGGACTCTTTCCCCTTCCCCTTTTCTCAGGTAATCCGAAGCTCAAAAACTAAATTCAACAGTCATATGTCTCTCTTCTTTTATTCTGACTTCTGAGTAAGAAACTCAAAAATCTAATTTCAACGATCTGTTTTGGGGTTTTGTTTCATAAGAAGCTTGAAAATGCTTCCATCCTCAATAATCAATCAAATTCGAATCGAAATGAATATTCGACTTGATAATTGAAATTGAATTCGAACCTGAATTTTAGATATCTGTTAAATATTGAATCCAAATATCATGAATCATAATTGATTTTGAATTTGAATCTAGCTTGATTCAATTCAAATTCGACTCATTTGCAGACCTAGTCTAAACCAAATAAACCATGGGAATAGACCATTTCGATTTTGATTCCAATAGATTTTGATTTTAATTCCGATTTTGATTCTAGTTGTGAACCAAATGGATCCTATATTTATTAATGTGGTATTTGGAACCAATGACATTTTCCTAAGAGGTGTTTTTTTTTTCTATTTTTGTGAAAATGGTACTATATTGACATGCTATTTTCTAAAAGACTTTTTTTTTCTTTTTTCTTTTCTATTTTGCATCATTGATATTGCTATGACATATGCATTTTTCAATACCATGTCAGTATACTGTTACTAACAATAGCAACAAAACGAGAAAGCACCAAAAGGGCCGTTTTCTCAAACCACACTTGTACCAAATTCTAAGGTATAATCTGAAAAAAACTTTTTTTTTTTGAAAAACACAAGTATACATTAAGCGTTATCTGAAAAAATGGATTTCAAACATGGCGCCACATTTGAATAAACGACATTGGTTTCAAACACTACCTAAGTAAATAACAATAATTAGATGCAAGAGGTTGGAGATGGGAGGTAAAAATCTTTAGGTTGAACTCGGGAGACAACTATTTTAAGAGGGTGGGAACCAAGCAAGGTGCACCGTGCACGTGAGCTCCATTGACCTTACCATGAAGAGACTACAATTATGTGGGTTTAAACTCATACCACCATGTTTGGAAGGACACCACCAAATGACCATCTCAACTACAGAATTGTCGGTAGGAGTCAAGGTTCAAAACAAGCCTACTCGCATGTAAAAGTTTGAAAAAAGAAAAGGAAACTTATTTTTTAGTAAGAAATGGCAAGTTGGAAAATGGATACAATAGAGGAGTATAATTCATGGTGTGCAAAGGATAAACAAAATTGTCATTTTCCACAGAAATCCAGTTTATTAAAATTGGCTTTCTGTCTAATCAAACAAAGCATTGCAACTATTTTCTTCAAGTGAAGTTAGGTTAGGACTAAGTTCATTATTTCCCTTGGTATATATATATATATATTAGTGGAATGGTTGGTGCGATGCATGGGATATTTGATATTAATATTGATGGTGATGTTTGACTATGTTTTTATATTTTGGACATAGATGAATGTTTACATACTGTGCAAGTCCTAAGACAATTATATAATACATAAAAAAAAGACTATTCTCACAAAATGCGAAGATCTGAATTTTATAATTATAAAATATTGGTTGTAAATGCATTAGATTGAAACATTAACGCACCAAATCAATTATAAAATTACATTCAACAACACTATATATAGATACAGTTCATCCCAATGAAACACAAAATTTATGGAGAATTGGAGATGCCATTCTTAACTGATCTCCCGTTTTGTAATAACTTAAAACCTATGAAAATAATTACTATTAATGGTTAGAAGTAAACTAAGCTAATATGTTAATTTACTCAATTAACTATTGAATAGCATAAGTCATTATCTAAGATGACTATTAAATAACTTACATTTAAGCCTAAAAACATTTTCTTCTTACTTTTTAACTAAAAAGGAAATAAAGAAATTAATTGGAAGCAAAATTTATCAACCAACCAGTAGAGTAACATGTATGCAAACACTTTCTAGGCACGTTGATCACCTCTACACATTTGTCCAAGAATAAAACAATCGAATGATTCATAATGTGTCACACAGTGTTGCATACAACTGAGGACATGAGTTGCAGGCCCTACTTAACAACCACACACATGATGACATACAATCCCTATGGCCAAATGCCCTTATAAGAT